ATGTTACCTCTCCATCCCAAATATATCTGGCAGTATGGTGTGGGTACATAGGAAGTAGGGACATATCAGATGGACCCCCTCTGAAAGCCTCTGGCTCAGCATCGACAACAACACTCTCCGGAGGTGGCACCGGTGCATTCCGATCAGCAGGTGCGACCGGATCAACAGGAGGTGGCACTATATCAACGGGAGGTGGCACGGGTGCATCCCACCGCCTGCGGGAGAATGGGGGAATTGACGCGTTAGCTGGTGCATCCTGTGGTCTGCAGGAAGAAAATGAAGAAGGTGGAGTTTGAGATGTAAATGGAGTGGGCTGAGATGTAGCTGGAGTGACCTGAGATGTAGATGGAGTGGCCTGAGGTGAAGGTTGAACCCCAGGAGTGGACTGAGCCTCAGGAGTAGATTGTACACCAGCAGTCGACGTCTCTCCATGATCTGAGGTACTTGCTGCACCTGGATCCGGCTAGCTCCGCTCTACCCGTCCATGCCTCAATCGGTCAGCTTTGTCAACCGTTGTACCGCAAGGTATTAATCGTAAAATGAGTTTATGCAAAAAGAAAACTTATAAAAACAAAAAGAAAAAAAAGTCTGAGAATGCTCCGGAGATACATCTTTGGAATCATTCAACGTTTCATGTTCTTTGGGTGATTCTGGAGATACAACTACGGAAATATTCCGCAGATGTATCTCCAAAATCACCCAGATTACATGAAACGTTGAATGATACCAGAGATGGATCTCCGAAACATTCTGAAACTCAGAGGTCGCGAAAATGTTGTCCTCTACCCCTTAGAATGAGAAATTTGAAGCCTTTATCGTCCATTTGAGCCAACAAAAAATATATGCAGTTACTTTAAACTACATTTCATCTGATTTCTAAACATTTCGACATCTGACAATGGATTCTAACTCATTTACAACAAAACTCGAAAAACTTACCCGAAATTTATGATTTCGAAGATGTTGAATGATGAAATGGATGATGATTGATGATTACTAGAGCCTCGGACGGATGAAATACAATTTGGTGAAGTTGGAGAAATTTGAGAATGAGAGAGTGGAAGTGTTTAGTGTATGGAAATGAAAAAGTGTGGGAGGAGAAGAGTCCAACGCGACAATATGCTTCAAATTGTTCTGGAGATATATATCCAAAATATGTCAACGTTCAATTGATCTTTGGTGCGTCCAGAGATATATCTCAAAAATATCTTAGCGTTAGTTAAAATATGGTGCGTTCGGAGATATATCTCCGAAAATTGTAGGCATTATAGAAAAATTAATTTTATAAGATGTCAAAATTAATTTTTTTTTATTTAAAAAATCAAAAACTTTTAATATTTTTAAAACATTTGTATGAAAATCATTTTTAAAAATACAGAGAAAAAATTTATATTTTTAAAGCTAGAATCATTTTTAAAAATACAGAGAAAAAATTTATATTTTTAAAGCTAGAACAACTATACCCATAATTTTGTAATATTCGTTGTGCAGTTAAAATGTAAAAGAGATCTAATTGCTTGTATTCCCTAGCAGGGACGGAGCCAGAAATTTTGAGTAGTGGGTCAATATAAATATAATATTTCATTTTAAAAAATATAAATATAAATTATAATTGTTCTCTACGATTTTTCATGTTTTGAAAATGTTGAATGATTTTCTCATTTTCAACATCAACAAAAATATCTCTCTCAATGTAAGTAACTAAACAATCATTTAACCAATCATCACCCATGCAATTTCGCATTCGATTCTTAATAATATTCGTAGCAGAGAAAGCTCTTTCAGCTGTTGCAGTTGCCACTGGTAATATCAGAGATAACTTTAAAAGCAAATAAATCAACGGGTACACAACATGTTTTTTGGTCTCTACAAGCTTGATAGAAAGATCACCAATCCCCTCTAATTCTGAAAATTTAGTGTCAGAGCATACATCTAAGAAATAGTTATCAAGCTGATAATCTAGTGCCAATAATTCCACTTGAGAAAACTCTGAAGCATTAAATTGAGCTAAACGGATCAACCTTTCCTTATCAAATGCAGAAAATGAATCTCTTGGACTTAAACAAGCTACACAAAGGAGCAACTATGTATTCACTTCTGTAAAATGGTTATTCAACTCTTGAAGTTGTCGATCAATCACTTCATAAAATAATTCAACTTGAAAATGATGTAAATTAGATACTTTCTCCATTTTTCTCTTTGACTTTTTTTGTGTTGGTTGAAAAGTGTCACCCATATCTGGAATATCAATATCATTATGCTTACAAAATAATGAAACATCATTCAACAAAGAATTCCAACCATTATCTCTTATAGCTTGTAGCCTTATTTTGGACACTTTTACTAACTTCATAGCATTTACAATATCTTGATCATTTCTTTGTAATGCTTGAGATAAATCATGTGTAATTCCTAAAACTATTTTCATCAAGTGCAAGATGAAAATAAATTCAAAAGATTGCATATAACTCATCAGCATTAGCGCTTCACCTTTTTTTTTATCTAAATCTGTTCCATCTTCCTCAACCATTTCTAGCACATAAATCATAGAAGAGAATAAAGAAACTATACTAAGTAATGTACCATAATGTGAGCTTCATCTTATTTCCCCCGCCTTATTGTCATTTCTTGATTCAAGCCACACCCACTGCAGATTTCTCCATGTTCCAATGCTTCTTTCACCTTTGTAGTTTGACTTTCACGAAGAATATCTCGGCGCTTACATGACACTCCAACAACATTATATAAATTAGCAACTAAATTGAAAAATAAAGCAATTTTAGAATGTTTTTTTGCTAATGTCACAAGAGCTAATTGGAGTTGATGGGCAAAACAATGAATAAAAAATGCAAAACAATTCTCTTTTAAAATCAAGCTTTTTATACCATTGTATTCACCTTGCATATTACTTGCTCCGTCATAGCCTTGTCCAGGTGTATCCTTGACAAACTTAATCCATATTTTGCAAATAATGACTCCAAAGTCGATTTCAATGTTAGAACACTAGTATTTGAAACATGAACAACACCAAGAAAACGCTTAATAACTTTTCCTTCATTATTTACATAACGTATAACCACAACCATTTTCTCTTTCACTGAGATATCACGAGATTCATCAATTAAAATAGCAAATAAATCATCTTCAAGATCATCCAATATAACTTGAGTAGTGACTGTTGCAGCAACTTTAACAATCTCCTTTTGAATATCAGGAGATGTTAACTTAAGATTTCCACGACAATTTTTCCAAACTTTATAAATATCTTCATTGTGGTTAACAAGAAAATTCATAAGTTCAAGAAAATTCCCCTTATTTCTAGACGAAATTGACTCATCATTACCACGAAAAGCTAAACCTTGTGCTAATAAGTATCGAATGCAATCAATTATACTTGTCAAATGAATTTGATAGTCCTCTTTAACTTTATTGGATTGTTTACACAAGACACCTTCAATGTGTTGTTTTTGTTTCATTAGAGCTTGACAATTTCTCCATGCTTGATTGTGAGAGCTATTTACATCTCCAAGATGAACTCGAAACCTTTCACTTTTTTTCCAATTTATAAAGCCTTCTGTTATAAAGGCATCACCACAACCTTTATGTTCTTCAATGTGTGACCTCATAAGATAACAACATAAACAATATGCAGCATCCTCACTTTGACTATATTCCAACCAACTACTATATTTTAAATACCAAATTGAATTAAACTTACGAAAGGTATCTCCAAATTTTCTTTGTGAAAAAATAATTTATTTTGGTTGACAAGGACCCTTTTGCAAATAGTATTGGGTGATAATCTGACATTTTTGGCCTTAAACCAGAATCATTAGGAAGTTTTTTCAATTCAAACTCCAAAAACCTTTTTTGCATGGGAGGACTCAGTCTGAGACTTCGACCTTCATTAGGTGTTTGAGGATTAGAAGTTGATGATTGCTTTGATTTTCTTTTAAAATATTTTTCCATTGCTTATTACTAAAAACAAAACAAAACAAAAAAATCACAATTGAAATCATATTTAAAAAATTCACAAAAATACTATAAAATTGATACAAATATAACAAATTCAAACAAATACTACAAAACTCTAAAAATAAATTTTCTACAATTAACATAATCTCTTGTTCAATAATGTAATAATATATTTTTATACTTATTATAATAATAAAAATAAATTATAAATTTATTTAGATTAAAATTTTTAAAAAAATTACCTTTTAAAAGATCAACAATGGAGGAAGAAGAAGCTAGTAATAAAAAGAGATTCTTTGCAATAAGAGAAAGAGGAGTGAGAGAAAGAGAAATACCAAAAGTGATTTGTTTGTATTTGTAATAGGCCAAAGAGAATTATAAATAATAGAAATAGAAATAGGAAAAGTTAGATTTTTTTTTAAATTTTATTTAAAACATTTATTTTATTTATTATATAAAACTAATTACGTTTTAATAAAAAATAAAATGATTAATTAAATATTTAAATGGGTGTGATAGTCCAAGTATTTTTTAAGTGGAGAGATTAAGTAGTTTTCTAATACATAGGTTAATATATTTCATATAATATTAGATTATGATTCAAGTATTAATATAGTGGAGACATGGACCCACCCTTTCCTCTTACCAGCTCCGTGCCTGTTCCCTAGTATGCCTACCATTCTTTTTCAGGGTCAATTTTTATTTTAAGAGTACCTCTTCAACTGAAATTTTTAAATTCTTCAATTATATCCCTAATTGAATTGGATTTTGATCAAACTATGTTGACTAAGATTGCGCTGCAATTCTACTTGCCTGGAAAGTATTTGAGAAGCGATTTTCATCCCCCGATTAAGAATTAAAATCGGGACAAACTATCATAAAATAATACATAACAGTACCTCACGAGACAATAGGGCCAAAAAGATAAATATTCAAATTTAGTTCCAGATCCTATGTTACATTAAGAAGAAAAACTAACTACTTTTACATTGGACGCCGATTGACTAGAAATTCTATCCTCCATGCTATGCTGACCCGTCTGCATCTTTTAGACGAGTAATAAGCTCCTCCTGTACAGTTTACTTCACAAATTAGAATGAAAAATATATGAAAGTTGCACTGGCAAGGACATTGACACTAATCAGTTATGGATAAATAATAAACTAGATCACAGCCGTTATATCATTTGAAGAATTGTGTTATTTTGACACATAAGATTGAGATTAAAATGGTCAGTTCAAATATATATCGTTGATTGCGTTCAGTGAATAGTAATGAATATAATAAGGAATTGCAACTCAATTTTTTAAAAACTATTAACCACAACATGCACGTGTGCATTTGGAGACAATATTATGTTTAATGACTATAATATAATCTATAATTGAACACAATTCAATCGGTTAATGGATATATGTATATTAAAATGCCTGAAAGTTGTGGGTTAATTAATGGATATATGTATATTAAAATGCCTGAAAGTTGTGGGTAATGACAGTTCAAAATTGTGATTAATTATTTTTAGTAGATGATTAATGAGTTGTGACACTTTTTATATTTATTAATCATCCACTAAACATAATCAATCACATATTTGAACTAATATTGTCAATTGCATGTAGCAGAAAATAGTAGTTTGATCAAATTTCACTAACTATAGTGATAGTGTCAATATAGCCACTATTTGACAACACTTTTTGCTAAATATGCATATCGCGAAACAATACCGGTTTGTTCAAGTTGTGTTAAGCTAGACAACACTGATTTGAACGGTTCAAATTGAAGTCAAATTTGTGTCTTAAAATATCAAACATCAACCATCATTAGGCAAACGTAAACAAAAAAAAACTATCAAGCAACTCGTGAATTCAACCATATGCTTGTATGAAAATGCTGTCTCAATGGAACTTATAAATGAATGTATACTTGAATTATAGGACTACTTGCCTTCTTTCCTTTGGTTGGAAGACCTTTGGCTCTCAAAAGAGCTCGAAGCCTCTCCACAGTCAAGCTCTGAAAGTTCCTATTGGATGTTTGACCGTTTGATCCCTCTGCGTGTTTAAAAGTCATAGCACGACATTAGAAATACTCAGATATACCGTTAAAAGTCTCACCTCAGATAATATAAAACATGAACATGTCTTTATAAGTGGGGACAATCTTCACCTTACCAACCAGTTTTATGGGGTTGAATTAGACCTAACCACAATTTCTTAACATGATATCAAGAGTCTCGTTTAAGATCCGGTGGAACACCTTCTATGGTTTCTGCTATCGGCCTACCCACCATTTATTTCTATACTTCAGTTGTGGGGTGTGTTAAGAGTCTCATATCAGATAATATATGGCATGAACATACCTTTATAAATGAGAACAATCCTCACCTTACCAACCGGTTTTGTAGGTTAAATTAGACTTAACCACAATTTCTTTAACATATACTGTGGAATTCAAGTGGTAAGAAATGTCCAGCCATCTCACTATGGGTCTAGGGATTAATATCATCACTACACTAAATCATCTCTACCTCAGTGACCTAGAAAGCTCCTTGGCCTTAGAAAGGTTCCTAATGTTGAATACGTATGTTCTTGGTTCACTGTAGATTCAACGTGACTTGTAATTATATATAGCAATCAAAACATGAAAACCTCAGCTGATAAGAATTTTTATAACAAGATGCCGATGTTTTTGTTATAAAAATTCTTATCATCTTGTTATAAAAATTTGATACACATTGCCAAACATGAATTTTTATCTTTTTAATAAGCATTCAGGATCTTTTTAATAAAAATTTGATACACATTGCCAAACATGAAATTTGATACACATTGCCAAACATGAATTTTTATCTTTTTAATAAGCATTCAGGATCTTTTTAATAAAAATTTGATACACATTGCCAAACATGAAATTTGATACACATTGCCAAACATGAATTTGATACACATCTTGTTATGACATATATAGCGGTGTCGGTGTCCTAAGTTTTTAAAATATCAGTGTCGGAGTGTCCGTGTCCGTGTCCGTGTCGTGGTGTCCGTGTCGTGGTATCCGTGTCGTGGTATCCGTGTCGTGTCGCAGTGTCCGTGTCGGATTCTGTGCTTTATAGTTCAGGATTGGCTGAATTCTATTATAAATGTATATACAAATTACAAAATATAAGCTTGATGGCACTTTTAAACATGTATAAGACAGAATGACATGAAAGAAATAATTATAGCTAGACACATTTAAGAATTAGGAATACGAACTAGAAGTCTAGAAAAAAACAAATATTCTTTTCACCAGAAAAAAGAGGTATGAAGTATGAATCCAATCCTAATGCATCATAAAGATTATTAAAACCCACCTTGTTGAGAGTTTGTTTGGTTATTTGGTTTCTTGGCTGAAGCTCCCAAAGCCTTCTCAGCAGTTCTGATAAAAAGTTAGATGAGACAAAATCAATAAAACTAGACCTAGATAAAAATATAGACGTAAAAGAATGGGAGGAGACATGGCATATAGGGTTGTTCAAAAAAACCATGAACTGCCGAACCGAACCGAACTGAAGTTAAAATAACCGAACCGTTATATTTGATTAGTGCACCAAACCATATCACATAGAACGGTTCTAGAACCGAACCGAACCGAAACTGAAAATGAAAAATACTAAAAATAAGTTTGAATTTTTTTTTAAAAGAAATTGAAAAACAGTTTAATGGTTAGGTTCTTTAATAAATGGTCGGTTCGGGAAAATTTGTCTTCTAACGATTCGGTACAGTTCGGAATTTCTAAATGGTATACCAAACCAATTATTTTGGTTCGGTTTAGTTCTGCGTAAATTGAAACAGTTCGGTTCAGTTCGAGTAAACTTTTACTATGATTGGGTTCGGTTCGGTTCGGTTTTCTCACTGAACTGAACCATGAACAGCCCTAATGGCATAACTAATTTGCATAAAAAACTATCCAGAAGTTCAAAATAGAGAAAAGCCCAGCAAATTATATAATACTCTTGACTCTTTCACAAAATGCGGAGTTTGGGAATAATACCTCTTTTTTGAATTGTCGGATACATTCTTCAACTTGAGTGCTCTGATCAGAATATTCTGTTGATTTGTCTTAATATGTTGCCCTTCTGAAAAAATAAGGGGGTCAAAATCAATTCACAACAACTATCTACTTATAGCTAGAATTCATGGGCAGAAACAACAGTTCAGAAAAATATGTAATGGCATTATGACCAAGTGGGTGGAAGGAGCTTTTACTGCAAAAAAAAATAATTCCATAATTTCTACAAAACACATAAGGAAAAAAAAAAGGATAACTGATCCATTAAAAAAATGAATCTTTCAATCCTTTAAGTTATGCAAGCTGCGGAAATAGAGATTTAGACTGTTTGATGTTTTTGACAGAACATGATTTTTCTGCATCACAGATTTTATAGAATAAAGAATACTGCATCACCCTTCGTTAATTTAGATTAAGACCACAAAAACAAGGAGAATTATTGTCAGAGTTGTCCATGGCGGATGGCAGTCCATGGCGGAGAGCCAAAATCCCGCCATACCGACTGCTTTGCGGCACTGCTATAGCGGATTATGGCGGAAAAACCCGCAATATCGGCTGATATTTGGCATTGAGACGAGCCCAAAAACCGCCATGTATATTCGCCATGGCGCCGCAATTTGATTACATTGATTATTGTACCAACAAAAGTAAATAACTAAACTTCAATGCAACATAATTTGAATCAGGTCAAATATAATGTTCCTTATGAATCAGGTCAAATATAATGTTTCTTATGAATGCAAGAAAAAAAAAAAGCATTCTTCTAACTCAGGTAACAAGAATAATTTGAATCAGGTCAAATATAATGTTCCTTATGAATGCAAGAAAAAAAAAAAAGCATTCTTCTAACTCGGGTAACAAGAATAAAACTTCTGGTAAATCGTGCATCAGCATGCTAATATGAAAAAGTTTGGTTTGTTTCTTCCCGAAAGTCACAGAGCTTGGGGCAGAGTATCCTCGTAAATCCCTTAAAGTTATGTAATACATTTTTCTTTAATTAAATGTGTATCAAATTATCTAAAATATCAATGATCTTTCCCGTGCGGATGCACGGATTTTTAACTAGTATATAAGTATCAAAGCTAGTGTATATATGCTTTATATGCAGAGTTGTTAATAACGGAAGATAGCGCCGCTATCCCGGGATTTCTTCTCTGCGCGGCACCCCACGCCACAGTGGTGCGGCGCGCATCTCTGTTTGAGATAGCGGCCGCATTTCATGGGATCACGGGTCGCGGGAGTGGGTTGCTTCCTGGCCCGGAGCGGGTTTGAGCCGTTTTTTATTTAGGTGAGCGCAAATACTTTTTTACCCTTAAAATAATGACGTTGGTGGCTTTTTTCTTTTCTGAAGACACTTTTTCTATTCTCTTCTCACTTCTTCGATTCTTCACTTGCCCTACCTCTTTTCACTTCTGCGTTTTCTGTTGAAGTTTTTGGATTTCTATTCCCTTGCCCTTCAACTCATCGACCTCTTCCTCCTTCCTCTTTACTTGGATTTCACTCAGGTTAGTCTTCTCTATAATCTTCTCATTTCTTCTTTTTGAAAATGTGTTCTCTGTTTTTTGAAAACGTCTTTTCTATTCTTCTTCTCTTTTCTTCTTTGATATTTGATTTTTATAAAAACTTTTATGTGTGTCGTGTTATTTGTATAGATTATTCATATATTTAGTCCATAAAAATAGTCAATTCTAGAAAGTTAACAAAAGATATCCGTCATCCGCTATCCCGCTATCCCACATTTGGAGTCAGCCGCTCTGCTCTGCTATTCGGAATTAATAACTCTTTATAAGTTTTAAAAGTATGTAAAAACAAATACCACCTCAAAAGTATGTAAAAACAAATACCTGGTGGTGTGGTTTCATGATCGCATACATAAACCCGCATCCCACCCTGTAAAATACAAACATAAATTCTCTTATATAACCTCATAAAAAATTAAAAGGCAAAGTTCAATTTAACATCAAGAGATGCCCTAAAAATATATCATCATAACATTGACAGCATAACTTTATATCAACAAAAAAAATGTACATAGTGTAAAAGAACTACAAACTAAGATTTATGAGGAAACAAACAAGGATTCTATTGATCTATTCAACAGTTTACACTATATACCATTACCAGGATAGATCAACTGATGAATAAATATAATAAATAAAAAAACTAGTGTACTATCTGAAATGGTTCATGAACACTCATTGAAGTAAATGAATAACTTTGACAATTGAAACATTAAATCTGAAATGACATATACATTAGCAAGCAAGCTAGGGTTTTATAATTTTGACGGGATAATCCCTAATCGATCGGGGGAAAATGTACCTGATGAGAGAAAATAGAGGGGGAAGTGAAGGTGCCGCGAGAGGGAAGATTGGCGAGGAATTGAGAAGCACCGGAAGAAGGAGTTGAATCCATGGTTGACAAGGGTTGGTTGGGGCAGAGAAAAGAGTGTAGTGAAACTTGGAGTTTTTTCCCACTAAAGTGTTTATATATAATGGAAGAGGAAAAGTGGACTCTTGGTTTGACGATGGATCCTTTGAGAGTTTATTACGGGCAGGACATGGAAAGACTTTGGTAAAAAAGAGGAAAGGAAAATAAAAGATAAGATTATTTTTTAAGTATCAAGAGCAATTTTAGCGCATGGTTATTAAATCAAAATTTTGTATATCTTATTTTAGTAATAAAGAATTTGTATTATAGTAGAATTAATATGACATTTAGTGAGTTAAAGTAATGATAACTTAAATAAAAAATATAAAATGTGGGGTCAAGTTTTAGTTTCTTATAGACAATCATCGTTAAAGTAAAAATTACTCAAATCAACTATAAATTTTTTAAATCCTAAAAAATACTTTAGATCCACACAAAATATCTTAGTTTATCCATTTAATTTACTCTCATTAAAGATATTTATAAGTTAAATGAAATTTTATTTTGATTGATATGCATTTCACAATGTAAAATTATTGTAATTTAATAGAAATTAGTTAATAATTTAAAATTTACAGTAATAAAATAAGTAAGAGTGATTTTTTATGTTATTAGTATATATTAATTAAAAAATTTTATTTTTTATTTATAATTTATTTACTTGTTTTTTATCTTCTATTTTTATGTGTTTACAAAATTTGTCTCCACGTATTACCGTACAAAATAAATAATTCATGAAGTTTAAAACAAATTTTTTAGAGGGCTTTGTTTTAAAACAAAGTTATTGATCTATTTAATGTTTATGAACTTTTTTTTATCAAACTTATGCATTATATTTGGTTAAATGTTTTATTTCTTTTACTTCTTTTGAAAAACTCAAATACCGATAGATCGTGTTGCATATTCATCTTTCTCTCTATCTCTACCAATACAATGCAGTCACATCGGACTACCACCATTGACTCTGGTTGTTGATTACATTTAACTTTGAACACCACAATCAATGTATATTTTTGAAGGCGATGACAGTAATGTAAAACATTTTGTATGCAATAGTCTATGCCGGTGGTCTAGTTTATCGGTCCTTGTGTTTTGCGGCGACGACGAGTTTTGACGTCATTGTGTTTGGCGACGACATATGAGTGTTAATGTGGTTGAGTTTTGCAGTGAAATTCAGTGCTGATCTCATGTGGAAGACAAATGAAAAAACATATGATTCTTTTGTGATTATCTTTTTATTCTCTTTTATATAGATAAATCCATCAATTATTTAATAAATTAAAAAAATTATAATTTGTCTATAAAACAATGGAAAACGTAATAATTTTAAGAATTAAAATAAAAACACTTGTCGTAATTTGATGCATTAGATCAATTTAATAATTGGATGCACTAAAGGCACCTGATTTCAATGCTTATGAACATTTAGATCAAACTTATGCATTATATTTGGCTTACATGTTCCATTTTTTTTCTTTTGAAAAACAATCAAACATCGGTAGATCGTGCTTCGTATTTAACTTCCTCTCTCGATCTCCACCAAGCACTTTCCTTCATCCAACGTGTGAGTCAACACATCGAACTGCCACGGTTGATTATGACCACTGTTTACATTTATGGTTGTTGATCATTAGTATAAATTACTACTATTATATTTCATTTTCTATTATTTAAAAACACGTTGTATCTTTATTCTTAATTTAAAAAATACTTAATATTTTTTTTGTCTCGTATGTTAATATTGATGTTTATTTTGATTTCTTAACTTAACTTAAAAAATAATTATATTAATTTATTAATTTTTTAAAATATATTATATTAGATATTTTTATTTAATTACTGATAGGAAAATTTAAAAATTAGTCATTAAATCTATTGTTAATTAGACGAAAATGACTAACATAAATTTTGAAGAATTAAGGAATTAATATAAACATTTTTAAATTAAAAGATCAACATAAACTCCGAGATTTTCAAAATAGATGAACTTTAAAATGGAGATCAATTTCATAAACATATGAAAATGCGAAAAGTTAAATTTGTAATTTAGTTAATTTATTTTAAATGAAGAATTCAAAAAATGTATTAGTCAGGAAGAATTTTGGACGGAAATTTTGAAGAATTTGGGGAGCTGGATAATTTTTTCAATTAAATATGTTTCGGATCAAAACCAGAATTACACTTTAACTAGGAATTGGATTTCTAGTGTGATGTTGCAAGTCTTCAATGTAATCACGAGGATGAACTTTTTAAGTTAATACTCAAACGTGCAAGAGAGTTATTGGGACCAAAAAATGGTAAAGTGAAATGCAGAAAGTATGAATGTACCTTATGCATTATATATAAGACTGAGTTGACCGCTAAATGTCTATGGTCCGACCTACTTAAAATTTGGCTCGACCTAACTTGTTCGATAAGAAAATAGTCTTAACATTTTGAAAAAAACTAATAATTTAAATAGATCGGATTAAGGCTTATAGAAAAGCTTATTAGTTCTATCATGTCGGATTACTTATGTATAATCTTATATATTATATTTAATTATTTATATATAATAATTAATTTTTTATTCTTTTAAATTATCAATACAATATTTTATTTTTCTTTTAACTATTTACATTTTCAATATGACTCTCGACTCTAAACTTTTAGTATTACCTAAGGTCTCATTATTTTCATTCTCATATCATTCTCAACTAGAATTGAAAAGATAGTTTCAAAAAACTGAATGTACAAAATTTGCCAAATAGGCTTTTAAACAAACTAATAAGCCAAATATGATTTTAAAAAGGCTAAGTCAACTTTAAATAAAGTCTTTGACAGGTAATAGTGTTAGATGAAGGCGACTTATCTAGAGGGGATGAATAGATTCCAAAAAAAAAAATTTACAAAATCTATTTTTCAAAAATAACGGCTAGCGGAAGTAACTTGGATTGATCCGTCTAAATCGAACAGCTATTGAAAATCTCAGATATGTGTATATGAAAATTAATCGAAGATAATGATAAGTTATTCAACCAATATGATTCAATCACAATCTCTTGAAGGTAATGCAACAAGCAATGTTATATCCAATGATAATTCACACAAAATTCTAATGAGGCAAATTATCGAACACCTTGTGTGCAATCGATTTTGGTTTGGAAATTTGTATAGTCTTATTGATCTTAAATACCAACCACAATCTAAAGGATTGTGATCAACTTAACAAAACATTTTTCAAACCGACTTCAAAAGAGTTTTCAAAACAAATTAATCGCACAAATGATAAACTCAAAAATTTGCAAATGAAATGTAAAAGAAATAGAGAGATAAAGTACATAAGGATTTGTTTAGGAAGTTCTCCAATCGACAATATTATGAGTACGCCTGCCCTCAATTCGAACTCGAATTGAGATAGTAAAATTAACAATAGTTTGAAAATTGTAGTTTACAAGAGAAATGTAACAATGCAACCCTACAAATCCTATATTTGTTGTTGATCCTAACAGTTTTTGTTCCCTTGATTTGAGCTAGATCAAGTCACCTAACAATGTTAATTTGATTTACCGTCTCACGCTACTCTTTTTCAAGAACTGCAACTCTTCAAGCTTTAAATTAATATGGTCTAAAGAGAGTAACTCTAGACCTCTTAGAGCCACTAACGCATTAGGTCCTAAAAATATTTGGGTACCAAAGTTGGAAACCTAATTATATTTTGCAAGGATGGCTTAACAGCTTTGAAAAGACCCATTGTAAATTTGATAAAGTTGTGTAAAACGTATGTTTACTATAAGTATGCAAGAAAGGTTTGGTCTTGATGGTTTAAAGTCTGATGGCATTCAACGATAGTTGATGACCCTCTATTAATTAAGATGTTCATTGGCATCAACGATGTTGTTCAACAAGTTGTTTGTTAAAGCATTTATGATGGTTCCCAATTGTGTTATTGTTAGCATTGATTGTAATGTTTAACAGTGTATTCACTGGAATTGACAATGGTGTTCAACAACTTGTTTTTGACCTATATGTTTGTTGGTATTAATGGTGGTGCACTGGATCTTAATGGTTCTATTGACGTTCGAGTTTAAGGATCGATAGTCATTGTGTCGCTCTAGATATTATTTAGCCAATTCTCGTATCAAGAGATTCTTGGTAATGGATTTTTAACAATTTCTCGTTATTCCCTCTTGCAGAGGAGTTTTCCCAAGTTGTCTTGATATTTTGAGGCAGTACACTTAATAGAGGTTGAAAAATCATAAAACTCTGATTGACCCTCTAGAAATTTATTTATTAAATGTCTAGTCATTTAAAATTATTTTTACTAACCTTTCGGTTGAGTTTAAAGCATTTTCTGAGCAAAGAGGTACAATATAAAAGAAAGAAGGTGCCAAAATAGTATGCCAATGCCTAATGTCAATTAAAACTCAAAGGAAGTAAGGAAAGCTGAAAACCCTTCTATAATCGGTTAATCCAAAAGGGTAATAGATTATTGCTTACTCCCTTCTCAAGTTTTAAAGTGAGATCATATCAAATCTCCTCCAGAAATAGATCCACATCTCTAGTTAACAACCCTACATTCTCTTCCTCCCTATTTATTGATAAAGATGTTCCAATATTTGTAGTTTGGGAAACTATTTGTATTTTCTATGGATTTATGTGCTTGCAGGTAAAAACCGTCAATTGGTTTTGACGATGACGACGGATGACATATGTAAAGATAACCTTTAAAGATGATAACTCCATTATTCAAACTAATTATGAATGTTAAGAGCTCTCGATGACAAATGACAAATAGGGAGTTGATATCAAATGTCCATTATTTCCTAATGATGGTATTTAAATAAGATATCTCAAGTTTAATTAGTTAGATGATTCAAAGATCCAAATGAAGTTCTAACCAATCGTTAAATCAAGCAGTGAATCTTAAAGTAATAAGACAATCACATACACACACACACACACACACAAACAAACACAACTTATTGAAAACTTGTATAAATTGA